AATTGACCCGTCAACATGTCAAAAAGGGCCCGTCAACGTTGGCAAAGACGTGAGCTAGTAGTACAGCAGTAGTGAGCTAGTAGTGCAGTAGTAGTACAGTAGTACAGGATTAGTACAGTAGTAGTCCCGTAGTAGTACAGTAGTACAGCTTTAGTACAGCCGTAGTACAGTAGTTCCGGAGTATCACGGCAGTAGGATAAACCAGTCCATGGCAGGTCCGCCAACATGCAAAAATGGCCCGTCGACATGCCAAAACCATCCATGCCAGGTCCGTCAACATGCAAAAATGTGCCCGTCGACATGCCAAAACGCAGCTTAAACATAGTATCTCGAAAGCTCTGTTGGCAACCCGGCGCGGCGCATTAGCATGTTGACGGGCTCCCTCCCAAGCCTACGCCACGAACCCCAACTTTCCAATCTCGAGAATCTCAAGGTGCATGCGGCCACCACGATGCCGGCCACCATGCCGGCCACGGCACCAGGTCAAGCAGCGCAGGCAGTGAGAGCTTTGTAGAAGGGGTTTCAGTCTCCAGGGGGCATTTTGGGTTCAGAGATCTAGGCTTTGATTCAGGTTTAGGGATTCTCGGAGTTACAGTGCACTCCCCGGCCTGCAGACTGAAGCATCCCATGATGCCGCCTTGGAGCAGGGGTCTGAGACAGAGCTAATGATATTAAAGTTTAGGTATCATATGATAAAGAGGTTTAGGGTTTAGGGTTAGATGTCCCCTGAACTCCGACAGCTTGAGCGTCATAAGCAGAGATCCCTGCAACCCTAAGCCGAAGCCCCGAAACCTCTATTCCCAAAGCCCCTGAACCTAAACCCTAGACCTTGAAGCCCCGATGTCGAGAGCGCTTTTCGCTTCAGTCTTCGTAAATCCTGAGCCCTGAAGGCTCGCAGTTTGAACCCCGAAACCATCAACCTTCTGTCTGCCTCTCCAGGCACACTGGCCACCCGACAGACGAGTGACTGTCGTCACGCCCATAGAGGGATTGTGAATTGGGTTTGGTTTAGGGTTCAGGTTCCGGAAGTCTTCAAACGAAGAATTTTTAGTTGAATCAAGTACTCCGCATTCTAAGTCCCTACGATAACCTACGAGCCTTGGATCCTGGCTTTCGCATAGGACCAGGATTGCGATGGGGATTTTTGGAATCAGCACATGGCCCAACGTCAAAAGCATTGCGCCCACAATCCCCTGCCCTCCTCCTGGGCCGCCGGGGGTCGATGGCTATTGAACGGTCACTGGGAGAAAGGGGAAACTTCGTCCGGGGCTGAGGCGAATTATCAAGGCCCCCGCGTTACGCATGATCTGCCCTGAACTGCGTTCTGATGACACGACCATGAGCCCTAAACCCGAAGCATTAGGACATCAGAAAACAAGGCCGCGGGAACCCCCCATGTTCAAAGTCGCGATTGATTTTCTCGAAGTGGATCTTCGTTTCGGGCGCTGAGGCCATACCTTGGCGTGCAGGATATGAGAGTTTATGAAGGTTGACGGTGCGGGGCACGCCGTGTACGGGATTTGTGCAAGATCTCGCGCATGCTGAGATCTTGCACCCCAACTAATAAGTAGAAATGCTCGATTTTCATTGAAGCACACGATCACGACCTGGGAGAAGTTCTGCTGGACCCTGGACCATAAACCCTAGACTGCCAAAGCCCAGCGTAAGCCATCCCTAAGCGCTTAATGTAGGAACCTGATTAAGAAACCCTAGCCCTATAACCCCCAATATATAGGACTCATATTCAGAACCCGAATAAAGATCCCGGGTTTCTTAGTCAGGTTCCTACTTTAGCCTAAACCCTATAAACCCTAAACCCTAAACCCCCATCCATTGCTCTGGGGGCAGCCGAGGTCACTCAGCAGCCAGTGGCAGTCTTGCGGAGCAGCCTCAGTGCTTCCACAGGATGGGGAAGGGGTTCTCAGTTGGATGCTTTCGTTTGTAGGGTTTCGGGTTTAGGGCTTATAGGGTTTAGGGTCTACAGAGGGCGGGGGGCAGGGCACAGGGAGCGGGGGGGCAGGGGCAGGGCTGGGTTTTACGGTTTGCATGGCTGCGGGGACAGCAGGTGGACGGTGTAAGGGTCAAGCACTTTGGGTTTGGGATTTGGGCTTTGGGTTGCGTTTGTTTGAGTTTCGGTTTACTTACTCTTTAGCATCACTCAGGCTTTGGGTTCTGTGGGTCCTGGAGGGGAAGAGGGTTTAGTGTTTAGGTTGCTTCTTCTGATTACTGTCTTTTGCATTCTTAGAGCAGTAGCAGGAGCCGACGTCTAAATATGAATGGGCTGTGTGTATCTTTTTCGCTCGGCACGAGCTGTCCCTAAAGCCTAGACCCCCAACAAGCAAGAAGCCTTGACCCTCATGCTTCCTTGTCTGGCCCTGATATACCTCTCGTGTATTGCGGCTCGACGTCCCGTTGATGGTTAACAAGAAGATCTGTGATAGCTCTTGTACGAATGACTTACATACCGGCTCGCAAGCCTCCAATTCCAGACGACCTGGCCGGCTGCACACCCTTCCTTCGTCCAGTTTCGCAGCTTTCTGGCCCAAAAGGATGGCCCTCGCAGAGAAGCGCGAAGGAACCCTGCAGGTTCGGATTGCCCATGCAACATGGTAGAAGTCTAGACAGGATCTTTAGGTGGAGTTTTAAAGCATAGCGGCGGTCAGGCACGCAGTGACGTAATGTAGCTGAGGGTATTGTAGTAATGACCCGACCAACGACTCTCATATTGAGTAACCTCTCCGTGGAACGTGACTGGGTCCCGTGAATGTCATAGGGGAAGCCATCGTGGTCTTCTCCTGAAAATCTTCTCAGTGCCCTGAACGCTGCTTCGCATGCTCATGTGGTGCGCTTGTTTATTTCAGCACAGAAAGCTCGACGAGAAAGTCGATCTTTGCTACACCGCAAGTTCTTAACTAAACCCTAAACCCTAAACCCTAAACCCTAGACCCTAAGCCTTAAACCATAGCCCTGAGACCTAAGCCTATGTTCATGTGCCAAACTGTGTCGACGCCCGCCAGATCAGCGGCTTGGCCGGGAATGGACGTGAGCTTCTGCCCTAGCCGTTTGATTCTAAAGTCTAAGGTTGAACCCATGGGCCCCTAACATGGGCCCTTAAGGGATTCTAGGGTCCCTTAAGGGTATATATAGGGTATATAGTAGGTATATTAGGGTCCCAGGGTTAAGGGCCCATACCAGGGGCCCATGGGTTCTACCTGAGATAAAGGGGTACCGTGTCAAATGTTTGGTCCAGGTCAGCTGGCATTTGCATTGGCTGTTGGGGCTCTGGTACTGCATTTTTCTTCTTTAGCTATCCTTGGGGCAGGATGCGCAGGTGTTTCGACGACTGTCCGCACACAGTATGACAGAGTATGACTATGATTGCTTCGCACATGTCAAGGAGCCATGGGCCATGGCTACTTTGTAACCTTCTCCTGAGCCACAGCAGCACCGCAGCTCCCAGAACGACAACCGTCTTCTGATGCAGCAGGTTTTTGGGCGAACACATGAGTACTCCCTGGACCCGAACCTTTGTAAGCCATCAGCCACGCAAAAACCTTTCAAAGCGCTCAACCGTGGATCCGAAAACTGTTGGGTTCGAGCAACTCCAGATGCGCCAGAGGTGGACAGCAAAGTTGTCCTGGGCGCCGCTGTGGCTGCACGTGCAGCTGCACGGACAGCAGATCGTTCCCGGGCCTTCCTATGATGTGCAAGACTTGAAGTTTCAGGGTTTAACGTGTAGAGTTGTTTTAATCTCTATAGGGGTTGTCGAATGAACTTCCCTGACTGAGACACCTGGGTAAAGGTCATAAAGCCGCGCGGTTGAGAGTTTCAGAAAATGAGAAACTCTATCAACTACTGTACGTATAATATATGCCTTCCCTCATAGGTTTAAAGACGCCAGAACGCCCCGTCATTTATCGGGAATACTCACAAGTACTGTTAGCATTATTTGTGTTTTTGGGGGCTTGGGGTTCTTGTCAAGGGTTCACGGTGCGTTCCTGGTGCTGGTTCCGTGCTTTTGGTTCGCGTTTCGCTGCATGTGCTACACGTAAGTTCTTGCGACCGTAAGAACTATCCCTAAAGCCTGAAGCCCAAACCCTAAAGCCTAAACTCTAAACCCCAAACCTTAAAGCCTCTCTTTCAACTGCTACTGTGGAGGCTCGGGTGCCGCAGGCTGCTGTGATGTCTGCACCTGGGCAAAGACCTTTGGAGTAGCAGCCGTGTATTTCGGGAAGCAAGGTCAGGGGATGTCACGGGATTAAGTGCTTAGAGGTTAATGTTTCAGGGCTTCGGGTACGGAGGTTGCGGGTTCAGGGTTCAGAACGGATGGTGCAAGGTCTGATCTTTGGGATTTGTTGGGTTCAGTTCTCAAGGTCTCAGGTTCCCCGGTTTAGGGTTTAGGGTTTAGGGTTTAGGGTTTTGAGCCTGAACGCAGAACTTGAAACGAGCTTAGAGCTGACGGATCACGGGTGGAAGCTTGGGCTTGGCTACTTCAAAGATCGATGCATCCATGATATAGGTAGTTGGCAAAATTAGGGTCCCTTTTGGGGTACCCTAAATAATAGGTGCCGTATTATAATAAGGACCCAAAAAGGGACCATAATTTTGACAACCACCCATATGTTGGTAACTCCTATCCGAGACCAAGACAGACTTTGACGGCGAGGCATGCGAAGAATGAATAAGCCCGAAGCGGGGATCTCCACCCCCTGAGTCAGATATGCATGTTTGGGACCAGCAGCCTTAAGAACCTTTTTGTGGCTTCTGGGTTTCGGGTCTGGGGTTTAGCGTAGTATTTTGGAGCCGGTATTAAGGCTTTCTACTTTGCCGAAACTTACCAATGATGCTTCAATCCCTAGAACCCAAAACCCTAAACCCCTAAACCCTAAACCCTAAACCCTAAACCCTAAACCCCTAAACCCCTAAACCCCTAAACCCTAACCCCTAAACCACCGTTATGTCACAAGGTTGCGCTGATGATCCGACTTCGCGGCGGAGGCCTTGGCAGGGATTCCAGCACTGCGAAGTAGACCAGGGTTTCGGGTTTGGGGCTTTGGGTTTAGGGTTTACCTTAAGAACCCCAAACCCAATTTTTTGTAGGTTCTTATTATAATCCCTAATATGGGATTTATAGGGACCCTACAAAAAAGTAGGTTTTGGGTTCTTAAGGTAAATCTATGAACCGCAGAACAAGCATTGCTCCGGTGCTGTAGAGTCGGAGCGCCATGCTGCTACACGTTACATCTTTCCTAGAGACTCCAAAACCCCTGAATTAAGGAATATACCTTAAATCATATGAGGGATCCTATTATAATTTAAGGTATATTCCTTAATTAAGGGGTTTTGGAGTCCCTAGGTTGTCCAGATCGGAGTTCATTCCTGGAGGCGAGCTGAGGTGTCGATCTACAAACACCACCGACGGACAGCGTTGAGACTGTAATGTAGGGGCCTAAATAATTACCAATACTACTTTGGAGGTTCCTTGTTCTAACTATAGTATAATATACTCCCAAAACCCTTTTCTAATTACTAAGGCCCCTATATATTAGTGGTTTCAACTCATGAACCGTCGATTCTCGAATCTTGGAGTCCCCCGGGTCTGGGCTCGCATAAGGCGCGGTCCGTAGACGACAAGATGCTTGCTGCTGCAGCGGCCCCGTCGGAATGATGATACTTACTATAGGAGGTTTAGGGTTTAGGGTTTAGGGTTTATCTTAATTTTGGGGGTTCCTTATTATGACCCCAAACCTGCATTCTAATTATTAAGGCTCCTACATTATCAGTTTCCATCCGCAAGGCCCAGCACACAAGCCAAATCCAGCCCTCAACCCTGAAAACTAAATCCTGACGACCGCGAAGGACCTGAAACCCTAAACCCCAAACCCCAAACCCTAAACCCCAAACCCTAAACCCCCAAACCCTAAAACCCTAAATCCTAAAACCCTAAACCCCGAAACCCCAAAACCCTAAAACCCTAAACCCCTAAACCCTAAACCCCTAAACCCTACACCCTACAACCCTAGGGGTTTCGGCCCAAAGCGGAAGCTAAACCCTAAAACCCTTAAGCCCGAAACCCCAAAACGGGCGGAAGCTGCGAGGCACGTGGCCCGTGTGCGGCAGCAGGATCGCCTGCCTCGGCCGTTGGCACTCGAGGCCGAGCAGGAGGACTCGGGTTGAAGGGGGGGGGGGGGTTTAGGGTTT